TCACATGGAGCGAGGTGACATCACATGGAGCGAGGCTGACACAGACATTTACCGTCACATTCACAGCTAACCCCACTAACTGCACGTCTTTAGACTGTGAGGAGCCCACCTCCTGCTGTGAGCCAACAGTGCTGCCCACTAACTACACACAGCACACTGAGTGTGCTTTGTTCTTGTGTGCCAAATCTATTTTGTTGGCGCTAAAGTCCAGTGAAGCTGATAATTCATTTTCTTATCAACAGCAGCTGAAAAACATTTGCAGAAGCTGCAGACTTGACTTGGTTTACCACCTGCAAACACTCAGTGAGCAGCACAACACTGCACTACCAACCTCGGGTCTCCTCCACAGCCAGCTTGTCACAGATCTGTTTCTCGTAGCTGCTGAGGTGATCGAAGGCCTCCTTGTGCAGCCCGGCTTCCCTTAGGACCTGGTTCTGATACAGCAGCAGTTCACTGTACTCGTAATCCACTTTGTCAGGCGATGTCTGAAAAACAACGCACATAAAAAGGAACAAAAAATGATACATTGCCACATGGACTTGAAATGCCCATATTAGGCCGGATGTTTCACTTTGAACTTCACGTATATTATTTTTATTATTAGTAGTAATTTTCCTAGAAGGTTGGATGGACTGGACACCCCAGAGTGCACACTAATGCATCGATCAGACCTTCTGCTGCTTCTCACTACAGACAGCCAAACAGACGAGCCTAACTTCCTGGTCAGAAAAATGAAGCCCGTGCAGATGTCCCTTAAACCTGCCACCAAGTGGCAGCAAGTGTAGCTGCAGAAAGACGTGCAGACTTCCAGCAGTCGATGAGAACAAGGCTTTTTCTGCAACAGCTCGAATACTTTAAATGATCACTGCTTAGTTAAGGTCATGAAGGCCTTCTTATCCAGAGCTACTCACCTGTTGTGTTTTGCGGAATTCCTCAACAATCTTTGCAGCCATGTCAAAGTCCTCTAACAGGTGATAAGCCACTGCATAGCCGATCCAGGAAGCTCGTTGGGCTGGGCGGAGCTGTAACAGCTGGTACCGAGTCTCCTGGAGAGGGAAAGAGGCGCCATGCGCACGGAAGCAGCAATGTTAGTCCACAGCTGTCCGTGTTTACAATCCGACTTTCCGTGTTTTGACGCTAAAAAGGAAACTGACGCACGAGATCAGTTCGCCCAGTGTCAGCCTTCTACGGCCATCTTTTGATTCAGACGGTCTCATTTGTCATTCCTCACCCTGTATCCTTCCAAGTCTCTCATCTGGATCTGCAACAAGGAGAGGTCTCGGAGAATCTGCAGATTGTCCTTATCCCACTTCAGAGCGTTACGGTAACACTTGATGGCCTCGTCATACTTTTTATCTGAGCGCTGCAGCAGGCCATACACATGCCAGCCTGGCACGGTCAGAGCGTCAGAGAAAATCACGCATAAACACAGTTACCCACACGTTACACGAGTTCATATGAGAACTCAGGCAGACATTTTTCACAGGTTTCTCAGAGTGGATTCAGCAGCTGCTGTTAAGCTGAACAAAGGCAGGAGCACTGAAAGGATACAGACGTGGCTCTTGAGGTCGTTGCGCAGGCCTCGTCTCACCAGCTCGTACGCCTCCTCCTTCTTGCCCAGACAGTTGAGAGTTAAACCCTTCATGGCCAGCGTCTCTGGAGCAGGAAGGAGTGACGCATTCAGAGAAAGCTGACACGATGTGACGCATTTCACCACTCTTAAATGTTACTCTCTTCACAGAGATATGTGCAGAGAGTAATTTAGTGGCTTTTATGTTCAAAAACATTGCTCATTATATCTTTACTGAGTTTCGTCAAACTGTACAACCTCAGCAGCTTGCATTAAAAAGCCTGCACTCCTCTGGGCTCCAGGCTTTCCAGATGATGATAATAACTGATCAACTTTGGCTCACAGTCTGAATCGCAGCTCATCATGGAGGCGTTAACAGTGACGAAGCTTCCTTACTGCTTTGGACTTCATTAAAGTCTGTCTGCTCCTGAAGCCAGAGCTGGGAATGATCTTACCCTAACAGTAAGACAACATATTAGTGGTGGAGAGCAGAACTCGTCAGCCTCCTGGTAGGTGCACCTATGGCATTAATCACCTTGTTCTCAAGTTATTAGAGTTCTTCACAGGACTTTCAGACACCTTGACCTCTGACCTTGACCAAACTGTCCAGGATTATTAGTAAATACACCGATGATATCAATTTGAAACTCGGTGAGGGGAAGTTTGCGTCATCGCAGAGATATCAGCAGAACAGATACTTATGACACGCAACCATCTTATTCCCAGTTTTTGCTCAGTTACGGTTCTGTTGTTGTCGTCGGCAACATAACTAATATTGAACTTATTCTGAACATGTGACTCCACTTGGGATTTTTCAAAGTACCACAGGCAGCAACTTACAGAGCCCCGCAGGGGACATGGGAGAAAAAAAATTAAGACGGACTTTTACGAGATCTCGCAAAACAAACAAAAGTTTTAGCCGCATTCTTCGGAGGCCGCCAGCTCGAAGCCGACCGGGAGGTCGAGGCAGGGTGTGCCGGGAAAGCGGTGTTCCTCCCGGCTGTAGTAGGTCTCGACCTCCCGTTAGCTTCGAGCTAGTGGGTGTCGGATCTCCGAAAACGTCGGAGCACTTTTGCAAATATGTGATGTCTTGTAAACCGAGCAGATATCTGACGTTTACACAACTACATTCACGCCTCAAAATATCTTAAAAGTGTATTTTGTGACCCAGAAAGAGTAACATTACAACTAAGTAGCTGCCGCCATTGTTGGAATTCAACTTTTGCAAGATCTCGCAAAAGTCCGTCTTATTTTTTTTTCTCCCATGTCCCCTGCGGGGCTCCGTAGCAATTATTCCAAGCATGACATTCTTTTGGAAATGAAGACATTTACATAGAGTGCAAAAGGGTTGAGCCACCACTAATTTCTTTATTCATAGATTCAACTATCAGGGGTTCAGCTATCAATTTTATTAATTAGTACTCCATCAATAATTCCATTAATTAATCGAGTAATCAGATAAAAAAAATTCTCTCTTATTAACGAGCAATAATAAATATTCAAAAGAGCAAAGAAACGCAGGTCTTTCAGAGTGATCTGCTCTGGGTCCATTATAGAAACGGCATCCAGCTGCAAACATCTGTCAAAAAGGACCTTTCCAAATGTATTTTTGTGCATTTTAAAATTTTACATTTCCAAGAAATTATTTTCTTAATTGCAAAATTAAATACATTTTAAAAGGTCCGAGAAAAAAGCAGAATCAAAGGTCAAAGTCAAATAAAAGAATCTTAATGTAAGCATAAATAAACTGCCGTCTGTCTTCTGACATCACAGGATCTGACAGCGTTGGATCTACTGGACGACCTGGAGTGTGTCCATGTGTATGTGTGCGTTTGTAAGCCTTAGCATGTGTGGCAGCAGCAACAAAGAAAAGCAAGCAGTCTGAACTTTGGCCTGTGCTTTGATGCAAAGTGTCTGTGCTGCTGAAAACGTTATGATGGCGCAGATATTAAGAATGAATCTTAATACTAATTCAGTGTCCAAGATAACAGACCCAAAGTTTTACTGGCAACATTTTTAGTTTTGGATTTAAACTTTAGAATACTGAATGTAGGAGTTTAGAAATCAAAATCCTGCAGGCAGCCAGGCCAAACCTATTTTCCCCACAATGTAAAGTACAACATCTATCACACAGAGCGGCAGTTGTTTACAGCTGTTTAATCCCAGTGTTCCTGGATGAATTCACACTGGGATTCTGGTGCTTATTCCACTGTATAGGAGTGCAACCAAATGTACACAATGATCACTGTGTCACATTGTGTTAATATCATTAAATATCACGTCACCCCTAAAACGACTGGAGGCTGACAGCGAGCACGGTGCATCAGGTTCTTACCTCCATGCTCAGAAAACTTGGGGTTACTCAGGATCTGTTTGCAGAACTTCAGACCATTCCTGTACTGCTTGTGTTCATAACACCTCTGTGAAAAAGGACAAAGCACATTATATCAGGTGCCTGACACTGCAGCCAGTCATCTTAAGGTCCACGAACAGTACATTACTGTAGGTCTGCAAAAGAAAACACTGTTCCAGTGACTCTGTCCTTCCTCCAGCCAGCAGGAAAAGCACCACATGCTCCTAAAGCAGCATCAACAAGTCTGCGAGGATCCCCACGGCCCAGTGACGTAAATGTCATCACGGTACAGTCAGCGCAAGGGTCTGTTATTGTGACCACGCAGACCTGCCTGCAGAACATTTACAGCAGTTTTTAAGACTTTATGCTTTCTCCATATATTTCAATTCAAACCGTCATTAAAGCTTATTATTGATAATGCGTCTGATGCAGTGTAACGCCACAGCGAGGAGCTGTCAAACATGCACGCGTGTTTTCGAGTCTCTTAACTATAGCAGAAGCGGCTGACGTGTTTCGATGTGCCGGTTTTCACGTTGCTGTATTTAATAAACCGCTGCGCCTTCTTATCTATGCGACACTGTAAATGATCAGTAGAGCAGTGAGAGGAAGCTCCTCGTACCTCCATCTGGGCTGACCAGCTCCTGCAGCCGCTGGACTTAACTAGTCCAACAAGGTGCAACTGTTTTGGAAACAGACCCCAGACAAACGTGCTCATAGACGTCCGAGCCGAATACGTCCCCAAGGCCAGGCACCAGAACTACAACACGTGACTGGTTTCGCGGTGTTCCAGCTACTGCTTAATAAAACTGCCGACTTAATCGCAGTGTGTCTGGCGTAGCGAACACATCCCTAATTCACTGGCACGTCTCTTGTAGATCTCGCAACTGAAGGCTACTTGGCAAACTACCATTAGCCAGCAAGCTAACGTGATCTCGGGTATTTTAACCTACCAGAATTCTTTTGAAGAGCGCGTTCTCTTTCGGCGGCAGGGTGATTGTGGGCATTGTAGTGGCTTCTTATGTCTCTTTCGGTTTAAACATGAATAATAATGTCCTGGCTGAGGTAGAGATACCAGGCTGTTTCGATCTTTTGAGACACCTCTCTTTCTCACGTGTTGACGCCAAGGCCCCCTTCCGAGCAAAATGGCCGACGCGCTTCTCCTCCGGGTCAGCCTGTTCTGTGAGCCTGCTCACAGGTCGGAGGTGGTGGGCGAACACGCGTTTGACTGGCACCTCACCGGGCATCAGATAACACCGCAATGAAACCACGCAGTGATATTTCTTTCATTGTAGTGGTGAAGAGTAATTTCTGGATATTTAAATATAATAACTGACAAATTCATTCGTTAATTTTATTGTATAACGTAAAATTGGATTATGTCTGTATAAAGATACCAGTTTAACCATAATCAAATGTTTGTTTCCAGTAAAGGGGCAGGATGCTCCGGAGTGGTCGTTTGATTTATCGGTGATCTTGGTATCAGGTCTGACAGGAAGTTTAATCAACCGCGGTGCGAACGTGCGAGTCGAGAGGAAGGTGCTCTCTTCAGCGAAAATGACTTTCAACCGGTTGCTGTCCAGGGCTGTTTTCGTCAGCAGAGGTAAAATCACGAAAAGCTGTTAATTATCGTCGTTAAAAATTTAAGGCTACGTGATTTGGCTCGTTATTTAAAACAGTGACTGTTTGTTTTGCAGGCTGACCTTAGCTTAGCTTAGCTTAGCCTAGCATTCTGGTAGCATGAATTGGTTTTGGCTTTATAACTAAGGGGTAAAATAAAACATCAAAACTAAAGACTGGTAAAGTATTAGCAACTGCTTTCAACCCAGATTTTCAGTGCATGTTTTGTTTTGTGTAAAGATTAAAAAACAGGTCATCTCCTAATCACGGTTGGTGGTTCGATCCTTGACTTGCCAAATGTCCCTAAGCAAGATAATAAGCCCAAGTTGTTCTCCAATGTATCCGTTAGTGTGGATGTGTGTAAATGTTAGAGTTAATAAAAAGTGCTTGTATGAACAGGGAAGTAGAAAGGCGCTATATAAGAACCATCCCATTCACCGTTACTTGGACTGTATGAGTACTGGCTGCCCATACGAAGACCGTGTTTTTCATGTTGTTGTGGTTTCTCATTGTTCCAGCTGGCTGCAGGTCTGCTTTCACAAGCTCCAAGCCTGATATGACCAACCCCAACTGGTTCAGAGTGGGTCTTGCTTTTGGAACATCTGCTTTCCTATGGGGCTTGGTGAGTGCATCATTTCATATGTACACCAAGGTGCTGTTTTAGAAGTAGCTCCACTGTGAGTTGATGCAGAACTGAGGCTTTGGTCCTGAAAAAGCTGATTATGTAGTTCAATCAGGTCTGAGTGCATTCGCTGTGACTTGAGTTGTATTCAGAGTGCAGCATTCGTTTGCATAGGCTCTGTGGAGTTTAATGTTATGTGAATGCAACCTATACCAATGTCACGTAACTTAGTTTGTTGGAGAAAACGTGCTAGCCAGCAGATTGGTTTCAGAGTGTGTTACCTTAGTATTTGTTTCAGAGTTTAAGTTGGCTCACTTGATTAAAAAAAACTCAGAGTAGGGCAGGGAAATATGGCCAAAAATAGTTATCACGGTATATATTTTGAAATTTGCCATAACGATATAATTGACGATATAACTGACGCGAGACAAAGTACTTTAAAACTCCACAACTTTATTGGTGCAAAAAAAAAACATCAATGTATTTTCACTGAAACAAGCAGCTGTTTTTTATCTGCATTAAAGTTATATAAACATGTAACAGTGCAAATTCCTGTCTGACAGTTTAACCAAAAGGCATTTCCAGTGGAAACTGGCCGACACATCCTCATCACAACCATGTAGAATATCCACAACACTTAAAAAGAGGTTTTAATAGCGACTTATTTTCCAAAAAACACGGTAATAACGATGATCCGCTAGCACGCTCTACCAGACATTGTGCTTTGGTGTGTATCTGACGGACGAAAGCTAAACCAGTTCCACACCACTGAACCATTTTTACAAACCAGTTCTGGTTCGTTTCATTCAACGATCCGCTTTCGCCTTTCTCATTCTCTGTCGCCGCCGTGCTTTTTCCACCGTGCATGCGCGTTTTACCCATATTCTATCGCGATATTTCATTTTCTTATCGTTGCCCAACATTGTACCGGTATTACCGTGAAAGGTATAAAATGGCCCAGCCCTAACTCAGAGTTCCCTTCATGTCAGGGTAAACCTGCATTCTAGACTGCCTCAGACTAGATGTGGTCAGAGTTTCCCTTTTATTTGTTTCTGGTTGAATTCTGTTTAATGCATCAAACTGGAAGTTTACACTCTTGACTTGCCTTTAAATGCATGTGTTCATGTCAGGCAGAATGATTACAGAGTGATTTTCTTGAGCCTGAATCCTGGCTGGGCTGTTACCTCACAGTATGAAGGTTCCCAGTTTGAACCACAGCTGTGACCCTCTGTGTCGAGTGTGCGTGTTCTCCCTGTGCCTACAGATACTCTCTCTCTGGGCACTCCGGCTTCTTTTGACAATCAAAGTCATGCAAACTATTCTATAAGCTATAGAACAGCGGTCCCCAACCCCCGGGCCGGTCCGAGGTGCAAAAAAAGTTGGGGACCGCTGCTACAGGCTAAAAGCGTGACAAAGATGGTGCTTAGTGTTGTCTCTATGCTTGTCTTAATCTTACACAGTAGAGGGCAGCAATGAGCAGCAAGATTTTTTTTTTATTTTTTTATTGTTTTTACTGTAACATGTGTTTTGTTCTGAAGCTCGGTCCATAGTGTGTCTGGCACCTGAATTTAAGTGGTTTTAAGGATTTTTAAAAAAAATAGTTCCTTCAATGTTAGTCTTACAATCAGACATTTGACAGCCATTTCTTGTAGATCTGCGGAACAATACAGGAGTTAAGATTACGATGTGACGTATTTTAAATAGGGAATTGACAAACGCACATGTAAATGACTTGTGGCTTCTCGGCCTTCCATTTGCAGCTCTTCAAACAGCACAGCACAGACACTCATGAGTACAAAGTGAGGAATGGCCTGGAATAACCTACAAAACTCACAGGTGAGCGCCTCTAAATACTGAAATTTAAGTGGACACTACAAGTATTAAAGCTAATTTACACAAGAGCACCCTTCACAAACAACTGATAGATTTAACACTGCCTGTAAAGATGCATTTAAGAAGTAGGTTTCTAAAGTTTTTGGAACATATTTAGTGCCATCAGGTGCAGCTGACTCAAACAAGCTCTCCTCCTCACTGCCCTCGTTCAGGGGCAGGATAGCTCAGTAGGTAGAGTGGTGGCCCCATGATCGGAAGGTCGGGGGTTCAACTCCACTGAACAGCTACCCTGAGGTACCCCTGAGCAAGGTACCGTCCCTACACGCTGCTCCCCGGGCGCTGCATTGGTGGCTGCCCACTGCTTCACTGGGTGAATGGGTTAAATGCAGAGGAACTATTTCCCTATGGGGACTAACACACACACATTATAAAGTGCTCTATAAACCGTAGCCTAGCTAGCCAACAATGTAAACTCACTTACTGCTTAAGAGACAGAAGAGTGGACAGTATGCTAAACCCTTGTTGTTTTTTCTTTATTGCTTGGGGCAATTCAAAAGACTCTTAAACTGCTTTGAATGTTCTGGTCTCGTTGCTTTCCACTGCATTGCTGGTCCTGTCTGTTACCAGCACTGGCACGAGATGGCTGTAAACATGTTCTTAAACTTCACAAACAGGGCTCCGTGGTGTAAATTAGGCTTTATACATGTAATGTTTCAGTTTAAATATGAATCACTGATCAGTTATACATCTTACTATTATTATTGGTGCTGTGTAGTGGTGCAACGGATAGCGGTTGATCCGTAATCCAAACCGATCCCACTCCACGGTTCGGCCCGCACGTGATCCAAAGTTTCGAAAAAGAAGGGAAAAAAAAGTATGTGTATGGTGGCGTGGTGGGTCTGTCAAGCAACAGCTATGGTCAGCGCTGGCGGTCCAAGTGGAGGAGCAGAGGAGTTTGTGGCATTTAAGCAGCCCTTTGCTGCCCAGTCCGACCGGGCTAAAGCTGTTACAGAAGCTACTGCGGTGTTTAGCTGCAGACGGGAGGCCGTATTCTGTTGTGCAAATCAAGGTGTTTAAACTGTGATGGACGTGCTTGAGCCACGCTATGATATCCTGTTGTGCGTCCACTTTAGTGGCAAGATCGTTCAGAGCATGTATGAGCAGGAAAAGTTTAAAGTTATGGCTGAGCTGTCCCAGGCATCTTCTGTTGCCCAACTACAAACGGGTGGAGCTCCAGGTCAACGGAAAGCTACGTGACCGTGACCGCTCATTATATCACAGCGATGCAATGAGCGGTGTGTATTATTGTAGGGTCTGCCTTACAATATAAAGCGCCTTGAGGCGACTGTTGTTGTGATTTGGCGCTTTATAAATAAAATTGAACTGAGTGGTAGATACAAAGACCTATACTGCACTATATTGAACCATAATGTTTTTAATAGTTGTGTGGAATGAGTGTTGAGTTGAATGTTTTTAACAGGCAAAAAAACCTTCAATAAGTAAATAATTAAATGTTCAATTTTTGTCTTTTTTTGCCGAACCGTGAGGCTTTTGATCCGTTGCACCACTAGTGTTGTGCAGTGTGATGATATATCTAATTGTCTCTTTTCCTGTCCAGGAGGTTGTTGGTGTTGGTCTGCTTCTTTCTGGTTTGTCTCGTCCCCATTTCTCAACGTGGATTACGTGTAAATAAAAACATTTATCATGTGAACGTACTTGACTCAGTCATTTTGTACATATTGAGTTTGTTTAGATGCTACTCCCAGCAGCACTCTCATACAGTGTAGTTTTGTTTTGGTTTTGAACGTCTGCCTGAGCTGCATTCGTTCTTAGAAAAACACTGAACACAATGAAGCTTAGAAAGTAAAAGGTTTGAAGGAATTTAGCCAACATAACGGTGTTAAGACGACATTTTATTCACTTCTTGAATTCAAACCTAAAAGCAAACATGGGATTGTTTCAGTGTAAAGTTTGAAGGGAAACAAAA